CTTCTCCTCCTCCTGCCCGCCCCCTCCCTCCACCCACTCGGGCTGTCCTCCCCTCGCCACCTTCCTGCTCCGGGGACTCGCCACTCACGCTCAGCCCCACAGCCGGCTCGGCCGGTCTCCTCCCCACCCCGCCCCTGGGCGCCGCAGCCGGCCCGGGCCGGCCCTTCCCCCACCTCCCCGAGACCGACACGCAGCTTCGCCAATCCACAAGCGGCAGCGGCCAGAATTCAGCCAATCGGAGCCAAGCGTTGGGTGGGATCAGACTAACCCCTGTCGGGGTGGAGGGCGGGCAGAGAGGCTGAAGACGGAAAGGGTTACCAGCCAATCAGAACAGAACCGAAGGCCAAACGGAGGGTCTAAGCGTTACTGAGCAGGCGCACACTCAGTTCAAGGAAACACTTATCTGTATACGGAGGCGGGGCTTGAGGAAGGAGGTGGAGCGCTGTAAAATACTAACACCTGCACCACTCAATACCACCCCCTTCTTTAACCCCTCCCACTAGCCCAACCCACTGAGGAAACGGCTGCCGTCGGGATTGGGTGATTGAGTAAAAGAGCCAGCCCATTGTTCCTTCAGGATTGGCCCAATGATTCTTTTCGAAGTTTGCGGCACCCAATCGAAACGTGGGAGGTGAAACTAAGAGGCTAACCGTAGGGTGCTCCGCACGATTCTCACAAAAAGTAGTCCCGGGACGCGCGTTAGTGCCGGTCCCTCCGCCCTCTGGGTCGCTCGCACCTCGCGGTAGCTTCCCCCAGAGCCAGGGCGCCTCTCCTGCGCCCGAGACAGCGAGGGAGCGCCCCAGGGAGTTCGTGGTGCGTGCTGACACGTGCGGGCCGGCGGCGGAGCGATTTGGGACGCGCCTCACGGGGCGGGCCCCGGTTTGAATCGGCGCGGGCGGCGGCTGAGGCCTGAGTGGGAGCCGGCGCCGCGGGCTGGAGCTGCGGGGCGACCCAGACAGCCTCGCGGACGGGGCGTCTCGTCTGTGCGGAGCCCTTCCGGCGGACTCCGGCGCGGAGGGCCGAGGTGGGCGTGAGAGGTAGGCCGCCGCGGGGCCGGGGCGGGGCCCGGGGCCGGATCCGGGTCCCGAGTGTGGGTGGGACTCCCCCGCCTCCGCGGCTGCCCCGGCTAGCAGAGACGCGAAACGCTCTGATCGGGACCCTGCAGACCTGCCGAGCCAGGGCCTGGAGCTTCACGTAGTGCTCCGGAATGGAGTACACACCTGATCGAGATGTCTGGAAAGATTGAAAAGTCCTGGCCTATCCTTGGGGCTCTGATAGGGTCATCCTGGTCCGCAGCTTCCCCCCACCTCTCTCTCTCTCTCTGAGTTCCAAGCTGTCCTGTCTGCGCGTATTCCATGCCGGTCGGGGTTGTGCTAGAGTTAGGTCTTGAATGTTTCTGGTTTTTGTCCAGTCACATTAGCTTTGGTGAGGGGGTTGGTTTTCGTTTTTCTCTTCATCTTTCAGATGGATACCAGTTCAAATGACAGGGGACCCCCTGAAACCAAGGCGCCTTCCCTTCATGAAGCCGGTACGTGGTGGTTTGCTTCCTCCTTGGTAAATCTGAGGTTTATGTATTTGTCCAGTAATGATGCTTAGGCCCTGCAACTTGTCGTCCATTTCAGAAAACGCCTCTCTCATTTCGGGAACTGGGACACTTGAGACTCCTCAGAAGCATGCAGCAGACGTGACTCCTAAGCTTTGCACACCACAGACTTTTAAATCACCTTTGAACTTTTCCACAGTAACCGTAGAGCAATTGGGAATTACACCTGAAAGTTTTGTGAAGAACTCTTCAGGTAAGAGAAGCTGTCATTCTATGGTGCTTCTTTTTCGGTTTTCAGAATAACTAACTCAGTTCTACTCCTCTATGCTGTCTCTCATTACTACCGATATCTAAACTAATGACTTCGAAGACTTGCTTGCTTTGGGAGACTTAAGTGCACAAGCGAGGTCATCTGGCACACATGGGAGGAACAGGGGCCACGACACCCAGGGTGATCCTGTTGTCAAGCAATTGTGCTCTTCCCCCATCCTGGAAAACAGTGCCTGTGTGAATCACTCTGACTTGACACACGGGATTGAAGAAGGTGTACAATATGAATAGCCCTATATCTTGTATCCACATACGGCAAGAGTAGTGTGCTGGAGAGCAGTTTATAACCTGGACAGATTTGGGTGTGCCGCCTTCAGAAATCACAAAGAAACTTGGGCTAAACTGTAACCAATAGTTATAAAATTCACCTGTAAAATCTGACTTAAGTGAGGAAAGAAATGTGGGAATGGCATTGGATTAAAGAGCAGCATTTAAAACATCACTCTTAGATGCATAAAGAGCTGGATTCGCTGTGTTGTTAGGCATATGGGCAGAATTTAGAGTAGTATACTGAAAGCAAGTAGGTATCTCAGAGGAAAGAGTATCTTGAAGAACTAACAGTACAGTATCTTCTTACCTCCCATCCACTGGGGTTCCAGGACCCCCCAGTACATTTCTGGAATTGAGGATCGTACTTAGTCCTGTAGTCCTGTATATACTGTTTTCTCACATAGATGCCTACCAATGACAAGGTTAATTTATAAATTACGAATAGTATGAGATTAATAACAGATTGGAATGATTGCAATAATATACTGTAATAAAAGTTATGTGAGTGTGTTTTCTGTCGTTCTAAATATCTTTTCACTTCAAGGAAGCATATGTGAGTTGCCAGTATCTCTGCTCGTGAGCTTGGGCCTATTATTAAGTAAAGCATGTTAACTCAAGTACCCCCAGGCTACTAATGGGTTGGTAGCACATACAGTGTGGATACATTGGGGAAAGGATTCATGTTCTGGGTGGGATGGAACTGAAGAGCATAAGATTTTATCACGTTACTCAGAATAGCATGTAGTTTTAAACTTTTTTTTCGTACCGGGGAGCGAATTCCGGTCCTTGCGCTTGCACAGCAGGTGGCGAAACCACTGAGCTGAATCCGCAGCCCCTAAACTTTTGAATTGTTCATTTTGAAATTTCGCATTTGATATTTTCAGGATGGGAGTGACTGTGGGTAACTGAAACTGAGGAAAGTGATGTCATGGATAAGGAAGGACTAGTGTACAGGTGCCTGCATGGAGCTCTTTCCATCCTCGTGGATGACACTAATTCAGATAAGAGAAATTAATCAAGAGAAAGTATTCCCCCGTGTGCAGGAAATACAGAACGAAAATGAAGACCAGTAAATAAATTGTGTTTGTGTATTCATTCCGCAACCTTTTAAATGAATGCCTTGTGTGTGCCAGGCACAGTTCTCAGAACTTAGATTAAATTGGGATAAACAGAGATCCCTACCCAGCTGACCATGTAGGCATACCGGTGCCAGTAATTCTCTGCAGCGTTCTCTAGCATGTGTCGGGCGAGTTTTCTCTCAGGCTGGCTCATCACAGGCACTGGACCTGATTGCTGATGATTGCTTTGTCTCGTTCCAATTCATAAAAAGAGTTTCCTTACCAGGGAAGTCATCATTCTACCGTAAAAAGTCCAGGCGACGCTCTGCCATCGGTGCGAGGGGCTCTCCTGAAACAAACCACCTGATTCGCTTCATGGCTCAGCAGCGGGCTTTAAAGAGCACTGAGAAATCTCCCTTGGCCCTGGGCTCCCCCTTTCAGGTACGCTTTCCTTCTGAGCTGGGAATTCTAGGGAAACTTTGTGCCCTGTTCTGTCCTGAGTTGCAGAGTAGCCCTTCTGCTCGGGGTCCAGGAGGGAGCACACATTTTCCACATCATACAGAGGATATGCAGCTAGCTTGGGTGTGCCATTCAGGATGGCTGTGGGAAGAGGAGGTGGCCTTGGATAGAAATGGTTTTCTGGAGCTTTCTCTCTTCTGTTGCAAACTTTCCGGTTCATGTTTATTTTTCTAAATGAGCTTGAGGTACTGGTCTCCAATGTTTTTGTTTTAGTAGGATCTATTTTTAGTGTTTTTTGGCAATATTTGTGGATGTATAGGGGCAAAGGTCTTCCAGGACAGGTGTATTTGGGACAACGTTGTGAAAAGGAGCAGATACTTGGCTTCTGTATAGTTAGCTATTTTTTCAAATTTTTATCAAAATAATACAAATAAAAAAGTAAAGTAGTAGGATAAGGCTTATTATGAAAGACATGTGTCCAGGTTACTTTTCTTAAAGGACCACAATTTTTGGTAATGGCCTCCCCATTTTAAAATAACTTTTATATTGCCACTTCATTTTTCACTTTTAGGCATAATAGATACATAAGATAACTTTTTTTTTTTGTATAACCTTTTATTGGTACATTTTAGGTGTACAGTATAATGATATTCATCACTGCAGATATGCACCTTTATATACTCTCTTGGTTCTTATTTTTTCCCCCTTCCCCTGCCCTCCCTTCAACCTCTCCACCCCTCCCTATTTACAAAGACTTTGTTTCCTTTTTTTCATTTTCTCATATTAATTTCATTCCCTTCTTTCCTTTCCCCTACCCCTCCCACTTCCCCTTTCCCTTTGCCCCTTTTCTTCTTATTTCACATTACCTATTATACCTTTTAGTCCTTATTTACGCTTTCAGTTTCTCACACTAGAGAAACCTCAATATTTACACATGTGTGTCCTATTTATTTCACTTAAGAGTATAGCCTCAATGTGCATCCATTTAGCTATAAATGTCTCTAATTTATCATTTTTGATGGCTGAGTAGTACTCCATTTTATTTTAAAAACCACATTTTCTTGATCCACTCTCCAGTTGATGGGCATTTGGGCTGTTTCCAAGTTTTAGCTATTACAAACTGTGCTGCTATGATCATGGATGCACATGTATCACTGTGGTATGATTCTTTTAATTCTTTGG